GCATTCGTGTATACTATAATCAAGCGCTCAAACAACCCGGACAATGGCAACGAAACATTTTAAGATAAATCTCTGTGTCTGATAGAACCGGTTTTTTGGCCGGGTACAGATGAATTGTTAGTGAAGACATGGGACAGTGAGAGTTCCTTTTTAGCCTTTGTTACCACCCAATTTATGAAGAATATACTGGAAATCATCCGAGGATATTTACATTTTATCTTGCTGACTGGACCTGTATAGTGGCCCCTCTCTCACCCACTTCAACAGTTGTGTAAACTAGCTTGTAGAAAGTACATATGACTTTATTTATTGAAACCGGCGTCGCCAGCGTCTGTTAATATAGGCGCCAGTGTCTATTGATGTAGTCGGTAGTGTCGGTTGATGTAGTCGGTAGTGTCGGTTGATGTAGTCGGTTGATGTAGTCGGTAGTGTCGGTTGATGTAGTCGGTAGTGTCTGTTGATGTAGTCGGTAGTGTCGGTTGATGTAATCGGTAGTGTCTGTTGATGTAGTCGGTAGTGTCGGTTGATGTAATCGGTAGTGTCTGTTGATGTAGTCGGTAGTGTCGGTTGATGTAGTCAGCAGGTTAAAGTTTGTGTTTAAGGTCTTGAATAAGGCTGTGAAGGGTCTCCCCTCCCCAATGTAAGGTTTTGATTGTAGGATATAGGAGTGTGGTGCTTCCAATATTTATTTAAATTATTGCAAGAGTCCCATTTTATTCGCTGAATAAGTTTTTGACAATATGATCTCTCTCTCTCTCTCTCTCTCTCTCTCTCTCTCTCTCTCTCTCTCTCTCTCTCTCTCTCTCTCTCTCTCTCTCTCTCTCTCAGATTTTCCCTCACGTTGATATACTGTGCAATTATTGTATACTTAACTTTGCTGTTTTAAGCACACCTAACCTGTAGTGTCTGTACGGCTATGGTCGTTGAAAAGTTTGACAAGTTTAATTTATTCAAATTGGCGGCCACCGAATTCATTGTTGAAGTTTATGTCCGAGAAGTTTCCGTCCCTTAACATAAATTATTTCGACGACTATGGATTTAATTACACGGATTACTGCACTAATTATAGAAGAATTATTGCCTTTAACACTGCATTGAGATCATGTAAGTATCAATCACACTTTGCATACCATCGGAGTTTGTGCTAAGGGGACACCTTGCCACGGCTAACAATGGAATCAGTGAGAAGACATTATTAAAATCAACATCGCCGTGGTTGCAATAATGATAAAAGTATAACACTTCATTATAACCAACCAATATTTGAGACAATTATGAACATGTAATATAATCCTTGTAACCAACGTTCACTAATTCGGCCAGGTCATGTTGGATAAAAAGTGACACAACCAAGATTTGATTTTAAAGTGTTTATGGTAACCTGCATTTATTATTGTCTCACACATAACATATGCTCATCTAATGTATGCAATAGAAAATGTTGATAACAGCTATTTTTTTATTGGTGTGCATCATATATTGTTGTCTAAAATTTATTGGCGTACAGAAGAGACGCACAGCAATATTTTGGACTGGTTGGGCTAAGGACGTCTCAAATTATTGGTTCGCATCAGAGACGGACAGTTGTGGTTTGTTTGATATTAACTAAGCACTTTTAAGGTGTTTTGCCAAGAGGCTTTCTTAGTTTGTGGTCCTTGGTTTTGGTTTTGTTTTTGTTTATTCTAAAAGGCACTTCTCAGGTATGTAACCATTCAGATCTTCTGATCTATCATCACCGTCAACAATTCCTGCAAATGACCTTTGTTTAAGAATAATATAAATACATATAGAATAAAATACAAGCGTGTCTATTACTTATGTAAGTATTTATAATACAGTAATAAATAATATTTGACAAAATAAATGAAATAAAAAAATAGTCAAGACTTGAGTCCATTAACTCGTCTACGAACAGTAACAGTAATAATTTTCTTCAGAATGCACCGACCCACCAACTCCTCTCCGGAATGCTACCACAAACGAGACCAATGCCTTGGCCGGACAAACTATCTTTTACAAGTGCAATGATGACCTAAGCTCTGTCAACGTTACCGAACTGATGTGTCTAGAGGACGGGAGTTGGAGCGAAGCAAATTTCTTCTGCGAATGATCTAACCTATTCTTAGATGATATATCTATGTTTCTTTTAAATAACGTTTCGATGTCTGTTGTATATTTTCCTTTTATTACTAGTAACAATATGAATTTATTATCATATACAAAGAGATGGGGAAACAGTGCCATTTTGACTTGACATTCTCATTTCAGCGATCCTTATGAACGAAGATGGAGAAGCAGATGATTGATACTTAATTATTTCATGGAGAGATAATTGCAGCCATAAACACTATTTAAACGAATGTGTATGCCCATGAATTGTAATGTATCAAACAACTGCGAACGATTCATAAAGAACACAAAGTGTGTTTGATTCCCCAATGTTCTTGAAATTAAACGAAACACTATATATTATTACCAGCACCTGGATGTTTTTGTTTGCATTTGTTACAAACAGGAATAATTGTAGATTAACAGCAGACCTTTTCTAAGACAGCCTCTGTAAAAATGATATTTCAAACCATTTATCAACAAATCGGAAGAGTATGTAAAGTATATTTCTTCAGGGTATCGAGACTTGGTATTTTTGACGCGAGTTTATTTTGAGTTTTCTAGTATTTTCAAATTGCGAACAACAGTAAACTTTTGCAGTCAGGCCAAATTCTTTGTATATTTGAGTTATCAAAATATAACAATTCTTCATCTAAATAAAATAATTTCAGAAAAATGACAGCTAGTCAAAACACAACTTGTACAATACTTCCTCATTCACGTTAGTTTATTCAATTCCCAAAGTTTATTAAAAAAGACATAAAACTTTCTCCAAGAGCAATGAATAAGCTGAAACTGAATAAACCTTTTTACGAATAAAAAGCAAATCTTCAAATTTTATAATTATCAATTTGTAAACAATCCTTAAGATGAATATATGTAGGAATCTGGGGTTTAATTGTAATAGTTGAATTCATGTATTTTCACACACTGCCTCATGAATACAGTTTTCCGTCAAATATTTTCTTCCTTTTCTGTGTTTAATTTATCTTATTAGTGTATTTCTTACAAATTGATTCAAGAGAAAAATAAAACTTTGTTATCATCAATCCTTGTTGCCAAATATTTTATATTGTGTGCTGCCGAGAGAGTTACCTCTTTATGAACTATTATTCCCCGTCTGAATTAGTCATATGTGCAGGGAAAACTTTATGCAAATTTTGTGTGAATGATAATTAACCAACAAATGAATTTTACTGTAGCTGACAATTTTGTTTTATAGAATACATTGAAAACAAATACCTTTAGTGGTAATGGGGGATTCTGTGGGGACAAACACCCACATTTATTCATTAGCACACACCCACACCAATTTACATACTAACCATCATCCACACGTACTAACATGTATATATATATATATATATATATATATATATATATATATATATATATATATATATATATATATATATATATATATATATATATATATATATATATATATACCAATAATGCATGTCTGTAACACTTACTCATATATTATCACATATAAACATCCTTTTTATTACCCTTTAAGTATTAATATGCTTTGACGATGTTGACATAATTTTGACTTTCAGCGCGTTAAGCAGAATTTGATGTCGGTAATAAAAGAGTATCCTTTTTTCACAGAAAATAAAGGACTGCAGGACAAAAATTATACGAACATTAAAGGAAAGACAGCATTTTTATCCATAAAATCAGCGTTTTGAATACAACTTTGGTTGTAATATTTAATGCAATAATAATTAACTCCCACTACAATAAACTATGATGTCTTTTTATGTCCAATAAATGCACTTTTTGTTATCTAGTGATACTTTTCTATTGATATTTTTTTTTAATTAATTGTATGTCTCAAACATACCATGGCAAATTTAAGGTTCAGAATTACTCTAAATCAAAATAATTTTATGAATACAGAGAGATTGTACGTAAGCACCAGCAAACCAGAATATGTATTGTCACATCTTAGTTATAGTTGAAGTCTTCCTCTTTAAATATTTTTCCTTATCAACTCTATAATATTTCGAAGATTGCCATTGAGACAGTTCATTCCTAAATATAAAACAAATGCAATTAAAGCAAATTAGCCCTGTTCATTTTCCAAACTGTTGCCACGAAACAAGATTACAAAATACCCACTTGAGCTATATGCTAGAAGACAAATTTTTGTTAATTAATATTGAGGAAACAAACTTGTGAATTGTATAACCACTTGTGGCCTAGTGGTTAAAGCGTCCGCCTAGGATACAGGAGTTCTTGGGTTCGATCCCTGGCCGAGTCATAACAAAAACATTTAAAAATGGTACTAACAGCTCCCTCGCTTGGCGCTCAGCATTAAGAGGTTAGTGTTAGGATTGGTCTCACTGATGTCAGGATAATGTGACTGGGTGGGATATCATGCTAAATGTTTCAGGCACGATGTCAATTTCATGTTACTAATAGATTCAAATTAGAGATTCATCTTAGTTAAACGAGACAACAAATTAAATGAGGCTCAATTATTGTAACTTACAGTAAAGAAAAAAAATATGGACTTTAAACATCCAATATTTCATAATAAAAAGTTATTTATCCCGATTGACATAGCTCAGGTAACAACCATTATCTCTGTTTCTCTAGAATTATAAATCTGACATGATATAATATGAAAATCAAAGGAATATTCCATAACAAAGTCTATTTGACTGCCATTTATTTGATCTTCTAAAAAGCCGGGAACATGCTATGGTCCAATACTTTAACGGTAAAAAAAATAAACAAAAGTGTTGAAATTTCTAATAGCTTGAAAGGCTGAAAGGATACTAATTTTCATCTAATTAGAAACAACAAAACTCCAGACATTTTGCTATTCATGGTCCTGTTCACTATCATAAACAGACCGCTGTCTACATTACCATCGGACCGCTCTGGTGGCCTAGTGATTAGAGCATCCGCCTTGGATGCGGGGGGTCGCGGGTTCAAACCCTATCCCGAGTCATATAAAGACTTTAAAATATGGTACTAACAGCTGCCTCGCTTGGCGCTCAGCATTAAGAGGTTATTGTTAGGACTGGTCTGCCTGGTGTCAGGTTAATATGACTGGTTGGGACATTTTACAAGTTATGAACAAACTAGAAATAGGTGGCCCACCCAGGGCCACCTATTAAATAGTACAGAATCACGATTAATAAAATAATGAATGGCACTTACCAGTATAAATGATAGCGGTTTCGCCATTAATAAAAATAACGTAATGGCATTTATCAAGATGCATAACAATAGTATGTTCACGACTAATAAAATAATGGGAATATATCAGAAAACAGTACAAGAAATTCATTTGGGATGAATATCTCAAATTTGTGTGACAGAATAACAATATTTGACTTAAACATGCATACATATGTACATACATACAGACAGACATTCATCCATCCATCCATCCATCCATCCATCCATCCATCCATCCATCCATCCATCCAATCTAGTCAAATTATCCTGCTGTGCATAGCCTATCATGTTCTGAAAAATGGCAATAAAACCAAAAACAGATCATGTAACTTTGAATACTACCAAATTGATGCGATATCAACTAACCCAATCCTTGAGAAAACAATAAATGGCAAGAAAAATATTGAAATTTTCCAACATAAATAACTAAGAAAAGAATAAATTATATATATATATATATAAATATATATATATATATATATATATATATATATATATATATATATATATAAATATATATATATATAGAGAGAGAGAGAGAGACAGAGAGAGAGAGAGAGAGAGAGAGAGAGAGACATATCGTCTATTTAAGTCGGTGTATTATGGCACAGTGATACAGAGGTAAGTATCGTGTCTGTGTGTGTCTGCTCTGAAGAATGCCTGGCTGTATTATATATATATATATATATATATATATATATATATATATATATATATATATATATATATATATATATATATATATATATATATATATATATATATATATATATAACACATATTTTAGATATCTGACCATAAGCTTCCAATTTTTTTTTATGAATTTATAGTTTTTTTTAACAAAATGGATTAAAAAGATATTAAAAGTTATCATGTATTTAATGCGAATTTTATTAGAAACATTATTTCACAATAGGAATTATGAGATGATTTCCTAAATGTTACGTATATGTAATTTAATTACTTGCGTGTTAGTTTTAAATTTTTTATTATATTTTAATTTCATTGCATGTTATTAAAATGATAACTTTTTCACTGGATTTGACTTTTTCCTGAAAAATTCAGTTCAGTTCTAGTAAATAATAGTGTTGCTACATTGTATTTTTAAGTGACATAGCTCCTGAACTTGATGTAAATTTGGTAAACACAGAGAGAAATTCATTGTTCGTAATCAAGGTCTTATTTGGCTTGCGTGTCGCTCTGTTGTAAACAACATTTTTATTTTTCTTTATTATTGAATCTTGCAGTAAGATTCGTTATGAAGAATCAAATTCGTCCATGGCGTGCGTGTCAATCGTCTTATGGTTTTAATGCACCATTTGAATTCTAAAACTGCATTTAAAACTAAAACTTTTAGTGATTGAATTCAGTCATAAATCGATACCTCTGTAGCTCAAAGGTATTTTATGTTGTGACCAGTTTAAGATTTTCTTGTCGTCGGAATTGGAAATTGATTTCTCTGAAAAACATATAAGTGCTCTTCTTCATCAAAATTCTTGGACAAAGATATCTATTGGAAATTATCTGGAATTCTAAAGTCAGAATATTATTCTTGATTCATAAAATTCAACAAGGTAACCGCTGATACAACAGCATAAAACAGGATATAGAAGATGTCATTGCCTTCCATATTGGAACTTCATCGGGATTCGAACTTTGATTCATTTATAACTTTTTGTGATAAGACTTATATTTTTAAATTGTAGGATTAATATTTGGGTTAGATTCACAAACCATAAGTCCTTTTTCATATTTTATCTTGTTTTCTAGGAAAATAAATATTTTAGTTAAATTTTATAAAGCTTGTTGGCTTGACTCTTTTCTTTGTTACTTTGTACGAGCCCAGACAAGTAACATAAAATAATATTTAATTTCAAAACAAGTCATTGTGATGTTATTGTAATTATTATATAATTTTTACATCAATGGGATTAAGGGAAATTCAAAATGTCTATTTTTTTTTAATAAAGTGGTATTTAATAGTTTCATAATTTGCAAAGGTTTGATTTTTATATTTTCCCAGGTTTTCTTCACTAGTTATACTTGTTATTTATAAAGATTCCATATATATCATAAGCATTTGGTATCAATTGTATAGAAAGAAACACAGAAGATGTTGATAATGTATTTTGGAAGGATGTTTTTATCTGCTATAACATATATTCTTAAATGTTTATTCCAAAGACTATTTGAATTTTCTAACACCATGATCATGAGCACTTAGACATTTAAATTTGCTGAATTTTTATATCATAGCTTTGTTATATGGTCTGAATTAGTACTGCGAATCCTTGTTTTGGATTATATAATCTGTAGGAGAATGGGAGCGGTAATAGCAGTCTGATTAGTAGACTGGTTTTAATAAATTTCTATCTTGAGTCAGACACTTACAATCATATACCTGTATCAGTCCATGTAGACGCATGGAAGACGACTTGATGCACATGATACGAGATCTTACAACAGTTGTATGTTGTTTGGTTGCATGGTAGAAGATGCAGAAATGTCCATCGTGTCCACAGTGCAACAGCGTGTTTGTTGCAAAAGGTTAAGGCTGACAGTAGAAATAGATGTGCCTATTTTAATCCACCATTTCACGGCTTCATTAACCATCAACACTTGCACTCTACACTGTATAGCAACAGTACCGAATAGCAACACAGGAGTCTGCAGTTTTATCAATAAAATTTCTGACAACATGAAATCGCCTTAACGGCATTATAAATTAACAGTGATAATTTATAATACCGTTAAAGTGATTTAATGTCAGAAATTTCGTCGTGCTTTATTGATAAAACTGCAGACTCCTGTGATAGCAACAAGATAATGATTTTTATTCTTCAGAATTTTCAAATAAATAAAAGCGGAATATTTTTTGCATAATTCGATTGTGCAGAATTAAAAAATAAACCCATTTTCATGATACATTGTCAAGTAAATTCACAAGAAGCATTCAAACACATGCACCGTCCACCATATTTATATTGGTCTTTGCCAGAAATTTGTATATCTCTTACATATGGTTACATAGATATGTCGTGTGAACATTCAGCTGAAAAATGAATAGATTTTGTTTATGGTCAGATACTTGTGAGATTTTTGTATACCTTTCTATCAAGTGCTCCACATTGTTTGCGTCAAATAGTATATTCTTGTTACATATATGCTGAAATTATATGCTACTCTTACAGTTGACCTAAAAAGATCAAGAAGTCAGACCATTATTTTGAGCAATTTTTAAGTTCTTGAAGTAGAAGCGAGTATTAAATTGTGGAATTGGAGTAAAATGGAAATGGCACTTAGTTGGTTGTCAAGAAATATTTATGATTATATTTGTTATTCACTATAATATTATTTACATTAATATTCAGCTCATAAAGATTGAGCACATCCTTTCTTCCAAATTCGTAAACTGGTTTATTGGTCATCTATACTAAATATGAAAATTGTAACATGAATACCAATGTCTAGATAGGGCTTGTACCTAGAGAAGCTGGCCTGACAATGATAATACCTTTCTTAGAGTCACATGCTAAGTATGACCTAGAAAATAAACACATGATACAACAAAAGTTGTAATAAAATTATGTTTAAAAACTGACATTACATTTATATTTGTCATAAAATGAAATTTACATGTGTCTTTGAACCCAATTTAGGTTGTGCTGTTGTCATTAATTATATTTTATGTAGCCATGTGTTGAAAAGAGTTACAGTTCTTGCTATTATGAGTGACCTTTCAAATGTTAATTCTGCTTTTAATGCAAATGTTTGCACATATTTTACCAATAGCCTCATAAAAATACAAAGTAGGTGAGCATAAAATTTCATTTTATGAACTTGTTGCATTTTATCAATTTCTTGTAGTTTATTTTTACTTGATATGTTGTGTCAAAAATACCAAATATAGATAGTTGGCCTTTCAAGCATGATATGGATGTAATGTAAGTTTATACATGAAAGTGGAGGAAAAATGAAGGTGTAAAGAGGTTGCCATTGTGAGAAAATGGTAATCTTCATTTTGCCAGAACCTCTAGCAGTGGCACAAACTTGATTTTATAGTACTCACATACCCTCCCTTCGTACCTCCTTACTGAGTTTAAAAACAGAAAGCTCAAGGATATAACAAATACACAAAACTAAGTCATTTAATCGATTTATAATTTGTAATCTGATTGTCACTAGTTGGCCCCAAGCATCATCATCATGTTTACATTTTAAACTAGTCCTAGTTTCCTCGGACCATCACACCCAGTTTTACATATTTTAACATTTAAGTTGGAGTGATGGGTGAGAAGTATATTTTTTATTGGTAATAGTGACAGTTTCTTTGTTCTTAGAACAAATATCTGAAGAATTTTGTGTTGTTTAATTTGTCTACAAAGATTATGTGACTTTCATTGATTATGTTTACATTTTTTGAACATTGGAAAGAGGTGTATTGATATTACATGACTTTGATCTCTGATCATATAGTCATGTAGGTTGTGTGATTTGGGTAGTCATGTGACTAGCAATGCAAAGCATCTGGTCAGATTTAGTCAACACTGTATTTTAATCTCAGCTATCAGTGTATTAAAGACATAATGAGGATTACTTGTGATTTCTGTGAAAATGAATGATCATCCTATTGATTTCATTCAGGCATGGTTTATGTAAGGTAATGTTGACACTAAACAGTAGTGGTGAATTCCAACTTTTTGAATGGCAATTCGCCCTGACCCCAGCATAAATATAAAAATTTCTGAAATGGTGTGGGATGCATTG